CTCTTCTCGTCACATTTTAGTTGACATGCCACGTGGATACCCCGCGTCCACCTGTATTCATATATTTTGCCAAGTGTCACTTTTGGTGATTGGTCGAAATAGACCAATCAAATGCCAGCGAGCCGGGTGCGGAACTATTATTTGATTGGCCGGCGATTTTGAACAGTAACCCACCAGGCGACGCACCCATCGACCTACCCGAAATTTCAGAACAGCAAGAAATAGATGAAACTTTCAAATGGCTTCTTTAGTCACATGTGCATACATGGATGTACGAACTACAGATACCGCACAGGTGTGCGAACTAGGGATACACCTGATGCCTGTTTGAGCCCCTCCCGGTTGCCTTATGAAGGGGGCGTATAAGCTGTCACGAGCATTTCGCATAAGTTTCGTCAATTCGCAGCTAGCTAAAAAGGATTCGCATGTGCTTATAAACAAGATCTGTAACCTAGTTTGACTTCAGTCTCTTCTGCTTGACTTCGGTCTGTACCTAGTTTGACTTCGGTCTGTTCGTTACTATTGGTTGATAACCACGCGACGCGCTTGTAATGTAGGTGCATAAGGCTGGGGAAACAACCTCGGGTGCAGCGTATCCATCCGGCGCAAGGCAAATTCGCGTGCATGGGGTGAGCATCAGCTGTACAACACAGGTGTACGTGTCAAGATAGCAGGCGAAAACGAGAAACAGCAAAGAGGGGTTTTCACTAGCAGGCAGTTGAGTACATATAGCAAACCCTAATTCGGGCTGTACTCGCTATAGAGTACCCCACTGCAGGCTAGACAAACATCACATTCTGACACACCCCCATAGTCAAAGTGGGGTATAATCAACACAACAAGCAGGCAGAACAATAGTTCATAATTATAAGCAAAGCTAGAAGCTATCACAGAGGGCACGTGAGGAGGAGGAGAAACTGTGGGGGCGAGAAGATGGGAGGCGACGGCCGAAGCTGCAGACACACGGGCAGCAGGAGTGCGCAGCACTGTCGCTACCAGGCTATACCCGGACTACACGGCGACAGACGCAGCTGGCTCACTGTGCTCCCAGGAGTGCTCACACTGTAGCTACCGGGCGCAGAGCCCCGGACTACTCAGGCCACAGGGGGTCGTGGCTCTCTGGACTACCAGGAGTGCTCACACTGTGGCTACCGGGCGCAGAGCCCCGGACTACTCAGGCCACAGGAGGTCATGGTTCTCTGGACTACCAGGAGTGCTCACACTGTGGCTACCAGGCGCAGAGCCCCGGACTACTCAGGCCACAGGGGGTCGTGGCTCCCTGGACTTCAGGCGCTGCGGACGACAAGTCGGCTACCTCCGGTCAACCTCCCCCAACTGTCCCACACCCCGTTCACACACTCCCTGTTGAACCACTAGCACCGCTCACACGCCACCCCCCTCGTATTACTCCGACACATCCACCCCCCTCAGCGGTAGCTGCAGCAGTGGGAGACGGAGGAGGAGGAGGAGCAGGGGACGGCTCACACACACGGCACCCCCATACTCTCCACCCCCAAACCCTAACACAGGAACGCGGGCAGCAGCAGGGGTGGGGCGCCGTCAAAAGCTCGGGGGACGGCATGCGGCACTGGGGCAGGCTGCACGGGGCGCGCACGGGCCTGGCGCAGGCCGGACGAGTCGCGCGCGGGCTGTACGGGCCGCGCGCGGGCCTGGCGCAGCCCGTACGGGCCGCGCGCGGGCCTGGCGCAGGTCGCGCGGGCCGCGTCGGGCGACGGGGGGCGACGCGCGGGTCGCGGGGCGACGCGACGGGCTCCGACGGGGGGCGACGCGACCGTCGACGGGGGAGAAAACCGCCGCGCGCTCGGGGCGCGCGGCGGGAAGAAAAGTCGCCGCACGCCCGGAGCGCGCGGCAGGCAGGAAACAGCACGAAACAGAAGTGGAAGCTTCTGGTGGGACCACCCACAGGATCGACCCAGGAGGGTCGACCTGCTCTGATAGCATGTTAAACAGGCTAGGCGAAAACGAGAAATAGGCAAAGAGGGGTTTTCACTAGCAGGCAGTTGAGTACATATAGCAAACCCTAATTCGGGCTGTACTCGCTATAGAGTACCCCACTGCAGGCTAGACAAACATCACATTCTGACAGTACGGACAAGAGCCGCTGCACGTGTGGTCGAAATGCAACCTGCACGACGTCCGAACGTCGTCTAGCTACGAAAACCGTGGTATGCCGAGCAAACATTGGACCGTATGGTCGCACGAAACATGCTGAAATCTGCACACAACAAAACCGGAACTTGAACCTACACACAAGAAAAAAAAAACATGAAACGTGATAGAACCCCGACATCATAGCGATTTGTTTCATCTGAATTTCCAGTGATCATAACCGCGCTATGCAGCGACCGCTACTTAAACAAATTTCATACCTCCAGGTCGTCCGAACGCACAAATCAGCCAGCCGCAACATACCCTTATCAGCTCTTTTGGCACTTTTGCATGTCGCGATCTGCACGACGCAGAAAAAAACCCATGGATAAGCCAATAAACTAGACATTACAGCTTGTCCGAAATACAAAATCAAAGTCTGGGGCAGTGAAACACGAACAAGCGTCACTGCACTTCGGTCGCTGTTGCTCTCACACGATACACAAAATGGCATGACATGCTCCTTGGTGATGTCCCATGCGAACTGCCACGCTAGATGAACGGAAACAATATTAGGAAGAGAGAGAACTCAGGCCAAGGGATTTAATGGGAAAAAAACAGTCGTTAGCGCCACCTGCCACATGTTAACTATCATAGAGAAGCAAGAAGGGCGGCATCAGCAATAACGACACCATGGTCGACGGAGGCGTGGGAGCCATCTACGAAACTTGCGTTTGCATTTTTTGCGATGGATGTTGCGTACGGATCGGATCAAGGTCATGGGAGACAAACGAAAGCTGTTGGCGTGTGCATCACAATGGAGCCTCACCATCACTGTTATCCTCATCGGCTGCCCGGAAGTCGACATCTCGTCGCTAAGTGTGCGGTAGCGCTGATGCTACCACAAACTACCCTAGGGAATTGAGGTGGGACGGGAGGGTAGGATCAGCGCGGGGTGGATGCAGAATAAGATAAGTACACAGAGTAGCTTCATCGTGGCAAAACTACTACCACTAGCGCCGAGAGTGGCATTTGAGATGCGCGTGAACACAAGGCCCGGGGCGGGATAGCATATATCTCTAAAAACCTTGAGCGTGGCGGTAGGTCTTCACGAGTATAGTGCTAATGGCGGTTGAAGTGCGGAGTTTGATAGAAAGGTGTGATAGGAGGGGAGCATAAATCTGAGGTATGAACTATGAACAACAAAACTGAAATGGAAGGAACATTTGTATGGCGAATGGGGTAGGGTTTCACGATGGCTGAGGCTCGGGTGGTTGGGATGGGCGGATATCGGAGGCGGTATTTGTGTTTATGAGCTGCAGCATTTGGTTGGAATGATTCGTGAGGCTCACCTCAAGAGTGGAAGATATGGGTAGGGTTGTGACGTGGAACATTCGGAATTTTCTTCTAGCCATGTACACAATTTGGAATAGCTCTGATTGGTTTGTGGGTTGCACTTCTTGATCTGACGTGTAGCTTTGATTGGTTTGCATACGTCATTATTGAGTCCGACGCGTGGCTTCCAGGTGTACTTGATGGAATCAACCAGATTCTGTTTTTACGACATTCACGAAATCTGTTGCCCCGTCTATTTTTTTCGCTAGTGGTCGGGTTGCTTCGCATGCCTCGTGGTCACTACCTAACCAGAGTCTGAACCGTGTTCGAGCTATACGTTATAACCACAAAACTGGCCGCAATTGGTACAGCGGTCGTTTAATGAGTCACCAATGTTGCGTATCAGAGTCCGAATGTGTTGGATTCGAACCGCGGAGTCGGAAATTTGGTCGCATCGCTCATTTCGTGCCACAATTCTGTGCATGTGTCGCTAGATGTGACTCTGATGTGACTTTGTGCATACCGAAAGGAGTCACGGAATTGTTACGGAGTGTGCTGTTAGGTTTTTGGAGCTAGTTGGGACTTTTTGTATGCTTTTCGGAGGAAAAACCTACAGAGGCCCAAAATTTAGACCCAACCAATTTCGCGATGTAGCAAACGCGAAAGTCTCGGCAAACACACAAACGATTGGAGCGCGCCGCGAAACTCTGACGCTTGTCAACATGCCGCTGATTCTCGTCCATCGCTCCCTGCGAGGAAAACTACTAGTCTCCTGTGATGGGAGGGACTGGACATCCCAAAACTACTAGTCTCCTGGTGTTGGGTTTGGGAGAGAAATGCATGGAGAGCATACTGAATCTCGCGATGTGAGATTTGGGGCCTCCCGAATGTAAACCTTCTAGAAAGTTTGCAGGCTGGAACGAACGTGTGATCGGCGAAACGCCCGATCACTTAGAAAGATTAACGAGAAGGTGTAACTCAGCATGAGCGAATAGCTTTGTCGCCCTATCATTTGTTCGTGATTTCTGTCAACAGTAGTTGCGATCATTTTCATTAGTCGAAATCAATGAAGGGCTAACGGCAGCGCCTAATCACAGCATTTCGCGCGTAATTGTGCCAGTCGGCTCTGGCGTTTTTTATTGGAGTTGGGTTTGGGAGAGAAAAGCTCATGTCAGTAAATGTCAAATCGGCATTTATCCTAACCGTTCGATATTTGACAGGTGCCGGTTTCTCCATACACATTTCGGAATATAGAGGGTGACATGGGCTGTTATGAATTGTAAAAGAGAGTGCGCAGGTAAACGAATAACGAGGCTGTGACTGAATGAACTGAGAATACAATGAATGCACAGACTAATGTAGGGCTAGCCTAGCTAGGAGGAAACCTCGGACGAGCGAGGTTGGGTGCAGGTTTGGCGATGGAAATGCCGAAGGCGACGCGGGGAGCCTCGGCAGCGTGGAAATCGCCCGAACGTGCGAACTCCGAAAATCGGGTTGTACGCGCAGCAGTCAACCCCGATAAGGAATTCGGGAAAATTCCTTACACCACCCCCCCCTTAAGAAAGGCGGTCAATATCCGAAACACGCTTGCGCGCCAAGTAATCACCAACAAGTGGCGAGGCGTCGAGCGAGGCGGATGGCACCCACGTGTCGTCCTCACTGGTGCGATCAGTCCAGCGGATTAGGAAATCCACGTGTCGGCCAGCTGCGTCAAGCCGGACCCGATGGGCGAGAATCTTTGAAGGATCGAGGATCGGCTCCGGGACAGGTCGAGCTGTCGGGGCAGCTTGCTGACGTGCGATGTCGGTCGTGGCTGGCACGAACTTGCGAAGCAGGCTGACGTGGAAGGCGTCATGAATTCGCCTGTCTTCCGGGAGCAACAGCTTCGCAGTGACAGGTGTCACCATCTTGATAATCTTGAACGGTCCGCAAAATCGGGGCCGTAGCTTCGATGGACCGGGCAGGTGCAGGTTCTTCGTGTCGAGGAGCACTAATTGCCCAGTAGTCAAGACGAGTTCCCGGCGTAGAAGGTCGGTGTATTTGCGGGAAGTGGTATTCGCCTTGCGAATGGCATCTGCGGCTTTCTCGTGGATGTTTTGAAGTTCCATCACAAAAGTTTGTGACCGCGGGACCGGATTGACGAGCGAAGTTGCCGTGGGAACCGTCGGATCCATCCCGTAATTCAGGAAGAACGGGGAGTGATTAGTCGTGCTCGACGGTGCGTTGTTGAAGGCGAATTCCAACATGGCGAGGGAATCTTCCCATCGTGCGGGGTCGGGGCAGTTTGTCCGTATCAGCTGCTCCATCGTCTGGTTGGTTCGCTCGGTTTGTCCGTCCGTCTGTGGGTGGTATGCCGATGAGAACTGTAGCTTCGTGCCGTACTGCGCCCATGTCTCCTTCCAAAACTTGGATGTAAACTTCGGGTCCCGGTCGGTGATGATCGCCGAAGGGATGCCGTGCAGTCGCACGACCGTTGAGATGAAGAGGCGCGCAGTTTCTTCGGCTGTGATTGTCGTTCGGCATGGTGCGAAGTGCGCCATTTTCGTGAAGCGATCGACGACGACGAGAACAGCGTCGTTGCCGGACGGCCCAGCTGGCATCCCCGTGACGAAATCCATCGTCACCTGTTGCCACGGTCTTTCGGGTGGCTCGAGGGGTTGCAGCAGCCCAGCTGGTCGCTGACGTGTCGATTTCATTGCTTGGCACACCCTGCATGAGGACACATAACGCTGCACGTCGTTAGAAGAATCTTGCCAATAATATTGACGGTGCAGTAGTTTCTGGGTTTTATCAACCCCAAAGTGTCCGGAGTAGTTCGAATCGTGGACCTCTTGTATGAGGAGTTCACGCAGCAGCCGGTAAGCGGGGACCCAAATCCTGTCGGTGCCGGCTTTTAGGTAATAATCCCCCTTCTGCGTCGTGGCCTGCTGATGATTTCCTGTCGTGAAGAACGGGTCCGTAGTGTAGCCGTGGGTGAATAGTCCTGTAAGTAGCGGGTTCGAATGGGTTATCAGTACAGCAGCGGATTGTACGGTCGGTCTGGTCAGGGCGTCGGCGATGTTATTCGCCCCTTTCTTGTACGTGATGCGGTAGGTGAAGTGGCTCTCCATGTAATCCAGCCACCGAATCTGTCGCGGGTTGAGGTTCAGTTGAGCTCGCAGGTACTGTAGGGACTTGTGGTCCGTGCGCACAGTGACGTCGGCGCCCACCAGGTAGCAGCGCCACAGTTTAAACGCGTGGATTATGGCGAGCATCTCCTTGTCGTGGATCGGGTAGTTGCGCTCGGCAGCTTGCAGCTTGCGTGATTCGTAGGCGATCGGCTGCAGCCCGTTCCCGAAATCCTGGAGAAGCACTGCTCCGATGGCGAAATCAGAGGCGTCGGTTACGACTTCGAACGGCTTCGATGGGTCGGCGATGCGCAGCACAGGAGGGGAAACGAGAAAATTCTTGAGCTCCTGGAAAGCCGCCTCTGCCTCCTCCCCCCACACGAAATTCTTGTCCTTGTGCAGCAGGTCGGTCAGCGGGCCGGTTATCCCCGCCATATTCGGGATAAACCGCCTGACGTAATTCACGAACCCCAGAAAACTCTGAAGCTCCGTGACATTAGTCGGGGCCTTCCACTCCTGTATGGTTTTAATCTTCGCCGGGTCGATTTTGATGCCGTCGCGGGAGATGACGTGCCCTAAAAACTCCAACTCCTGCTTAAAAAACTCGCACTTAGAGCCCTTGGTGATGAGGCGGTTCTCCTGCAACCGCTTAAACACTGCGTCCAGGTCGCGGAGATGCTGCTCCCGTGTCTTGCTAAAAATCAGGATATCGTCCAAATAGACGATGACACATCGGTCTAGAAGATCCCGAAAAACCCTGTTCATGGTCAGTTGAAATGTCGAAGGCGCGTTCGTGAGGCCGAAAGGCATCACCGTGAATTCGTAACTCCCGTAGCGTGTACGAAACGCGGTCTTGTGACAATCGTCGGCGAAGACCCGAATCTGGTGGTAACCGCCACGTAAGTCGATTTTCGAGAAGTAGCGAGCGCCGCGAAGTTGATCGAGAAGGTCGTCGGTGCGTGGGATTGGGTAGCGAGACTTGATGGTCACCCGGTTCAACGCGCGATAATCGATGCACATGCGAAGCCCGCCGTCCTTCTTCGGAGTGAACAGGATCGGTGCCGCGAACGGGGAGGTGCTCGGCCGAATGAAGCCTTTCTCCAACAGTGCGTCAATTTGTCGGCGTAGCTCCTCGAGTTCCGGCTGGGTCAACCGCCACTGTGTCCGAACAGTAGGTTGCGCGCCAGGTTCCAGCTGGATTTTATGGTCTTCGGGTCTCTCGGGTGGTAGCCCAAGTGGTAGATCGTCCGGGAAAATGTCGGGGTACTGTCGAATCAGCTCCGCTAAATCCGGAGGGACAGCTGCACACAGCTTCTCGATGTCCTTTCCGTCGGTGTCGACTGCCAACTCGCGCAAGCAGACGGCGAACAGCTGCGCACCCCTGTTGAAGTGGTGGGCGATGGTGATGGCTTTGACGCACGGGGCTTGGATGTAGTCAGGTGTCCATGCAGGCAACTTAATTAGCCCCTCGTGCTTGCTGACGCAGCACGATCCCGTTGTCCAGTCGATGACGGGGTTGTGTCGTCGCAGCCAATCACGTCCCAGCAGCACGTCGCAGCCATCCAGCGTCGTCGCGAGAAACTTCATGCTGAAGCCGAAATCTTCGCCGCACTCAATCCGCACCGTCCGTGTTTCTTCCGTTATCGCCAGAGGCGTCCCATCCACGAGTCGTGCGTCGATTTCGGGCAGACACCTGTCAAGTTGCAGCTTGCATCTTTTTGCGCTCGCCAAGTTGAAGAGGCTATGGCTGGCCCCCCCATCGACGAACATTTTCAGGTTATTTTTCCCACCTTGCCAGCGACCAGCACAGGGTGATCCACATGATTATCCCCGTTATTCGGCCGAGTGCGATCGATTGCATGAATCGGAACCACGACTCGGTGGGGATGGTGGGGTTCGGGCGACGGAGCGTAGTCAGTAAAGGGCCCGCTAATTACTGACTTTTCCCATTTCCCTGCTCCTTCCTGTCGTTCCCTGTCGGCGACGTTTTCTCGGGGCAGTCTTTCATGTAGTGACCCGTCTTCCCACACCGGTAACACGGTCCCTTAGGAGGGCGGTCGGGTGTATGGACGGCGTTGATAGTGGCCCGATGGGTCTGGCCACGAAAACGGTTTCCATCCCTGGAAGCTGTTCTCGCGTACTGCATCAGCGCGTCCGTAGATTCTGCCAGCCGTACTGCTTCAAGGAATGATGTTGGGCGGCCCCTGTGCACCTCGTATTGAATCTCGTACTTGAGGCCGCTGATATATTTATCCAACCGCTCTGCTTCCGACATGTCATCAACTTGGTCGGCCAGTCCCATGAACGACGCTGTGTAGTCTTGGACAGATGCCATCTGCGACCAGGCACGCAGCTTCATGCGAGCTTGCTCCGAGGCGGATACGTGCTCGAAACGGTTTCGCAAGGCTGCGCCCCACTCCTTCCACGTGCGTATCGTGGTCACACCAAAGATCGGTTCTGCCACTTGATTAGTTGTCGCAGGAGTCCCGTCTGCCGCATGTGTCACACCTGTCGGCGTCCCTGTTTCCAAGGTCCGGCGCCACCATTCAAGCGCCGCGCCTCGAAGAAGCGAAACCGCGTAATTAATACGCGTGGCATCGTCGTTAACGCCTGCTGCCGTGAAGAAGACCTCGACACCGAACAGCCACCCCTTCACTGTAGGAGTCTTGTCCGTAGGATTAAACGGGGGCGGGTTGACGGGCTTGATCTTGATCGTCGTAACTGCAACTGGCGCTGCTGCCGCTCGCGGGGTTTTTAGGGCACGTCATCTCTCGCTGCTGCAACTGGCGCTGCTGCCGCTCATGGAGTTTTTAGGGCACGTCATCTCCCGCGACGGCATCAAAATCGACCCGGCGAAGATAAAAACCGTACAGGAGTGGAAGGCCCCGACTAATGTCACGGAGCTTCAGAGTTTTCTGGGGTTCGTGAATTACGTCAGGCGGTTTATCCCGAATATGGCGGGGATAACCGGCCCGCTGACCGACCTGCTGCACAAGGACAAGAATTTCGTGTGGGGGGAGGAGGCAGAGGCGGCTTTCCAGGAGCTCAAGAATTTTCTGCCACTTGCGCCATCATCCGGTTAACAGCCTCCTGATCCATGTGCCTAGCACTACGTCTGGTGGGCAGTCGGGTCCCCGTGGCCTTCAGGCAAATGAAAACACGAACTATCGGAGTCGGGCAGGATTGAATTAACAATCCCTGCAGCCAACCGTCGTGTAGTCACTAAACCAGCCACACCCTATGCCACCAAACTACCCTCGAAAAGCGGGGTGAACTAGGAAAGTAGCTCTGATACCAGGTGTTATGAATTGTAAAAGAGAGTGCGCAGGTAAACGAATAACGAGGCTGTGACTGAATGAACTGAGAATACAATGAATGCACAGACTAATGTAGGGCTAGCCTAGCTAGGAGGAAACCTCGGACGAGCGAGGTTGGGTGCAGGTTTGGCGATGGAAATGCCGAAGGCGACGCGGGGAGCCTCGGCAGCGTGGAAATCGCCCGAACGTGCGAACTCCGAAAATCGGGTTGTACGCGCAGCAGTCAACCCCGATAAGGAATTCGGGAAAATTCCTTACACGGGCGATCAAAACGCCACTTTGACAAATTACCAGTGGTGAAAAAGTACCACAATTCGTAACAGTTACATTGTTTCTTGTTGCGTTACATTTGATACATGATATAAATTCATGCACATGTCAAATAACTACTATTACCAACAAATAGCATATTGATTTTGTATTTTCGAGAATATGTACTTATATAGAATATAATATTAGAAGCAAATTTGATACTAAAACCAACAATTAGCAGAAACTACAAACGCGTGTGTTACGATATGGAATGATTTGAATAAACATTCCTAAGTAACAAATCCTTAACGTGAAGATGACTGCAGAGAGAATGAAAGACCAAGCGACAAGACAGTTATCGAAGACAGTTACAAGCAGGAAGAATTCCAGATGAAAACTTCAAACGGCTACCGGACCGCGTTCGGTTACCGAGTCGCACGGTTGCAATCCTGCATCTAGATTAGCCCTAAGGGGAATGTACCCCCTCAGAGTACATGGCTAGCTAGGACCTTTCGTATTCCAATGTAATCCTATATAAACCTTTGTACCGCATTGCATTATTCACTTCTGTCGAGATTCAAATATCCTCCTTCTGACAGAGTCCGTACCTGACATTACCTAGCAATCTTCCGCTGCTACACTTTCGTGCGATCAACCTGAGACGATCCTATAAGACGGTTCAGATTGCATCATGGTATGAGAGCCACTCAGGATTCTTCGCATCACCACCTTTGATTCAAAATCAAATTCAAGGTGGCGACCGGTACGCGCTCCCGCCGAAACAAGGATGGAGGATCTGCTGGGCAAGCGGCCAACACTGCCGAACCCCCCGCCAACCCAACCGCGAACTCCGCGGGAACCACCACCGTCAGCAATGCGCTTCTGGAGCAACTCAACCAGCAGATCGCCACGCTGGAATCCGGAATTCAACAACTGAAGAACGACAACCCAGCAACCACGCAACAACCCGAGCAACCGGTTGCTCCAGTCAGGGAACCGAGCCCAACCACCTTCAACCTCAGGTCAAACTCTTCTGCTCCAACCGCTCCTCGTCCAAGTGACGAAGCCGTGCTCGCAGATCAAAACAAGTTTCTGACTATCTCCAAGATTCGCACCAGTACTGTGTTTAGCGGACGCGATTTCTATACATGGAGTTTCGAGCTCGAGCCAGGGCTCTTGCTAGGATTTGAGGACGTCTGATTCATCAGACGGGTCCCCCGAGCCAAAAAAAGGTTTTGTCTGATCTAGATTGGAAAATCAGATGGATATAAAAAAATAAGTCTGAAAATCAGACCATCATACCAAAATGGTCTGATAACGAGAGCCCTGGCTCGAGCTACTACTGCAAAACGCGCAAATATTCTGCTACTTTGACTGAAGCTACGCTGGCCCCACCACCGATACCGACGATGCGAAAGCGCAATACTACAACGGGCGCCGACCGAACAAGTCGCCATCCGCCCCTACAAAACCTGCCCAGCTCCCGCCCTCGCCGCCTAGAATTACCTTAACAAGACCTATCAACCTAAGGATTTCGTCTCATCCAGCTGCCTGCTTCAGGAACTCATGGAAGTCAAAATGGCACCTGGCAAGAAGGCAAACACTTACATCAATCGCTGCCGCAGTGTCCGCGATCAACTCCTAAAGCTGGGCAACACCATCTCCGAAGACATGTTCGTCACCATCGTCCTACGAGGACTCGGCCCACACTGGAATCCTTGCAAAGCCCTACTTCTCCAACAGGGTATAATCTCCAAGGCACATCTCTGCGCCACCTTGCTGCACGAACAGCGGGACATGGATTTCAATCAAGAGAAAGGGACCCGCCGCGAACAAATCGCCTTCTACTCCGATCGTGACCAACGAAGGAATCGCGACACACGGCCTCGACAATACTATTGCAAGAACTGCAAAGCGTTCGGTCACTCTACCGAACGATGCCGATCCGGACCACGCAACAACTCCGCGCCGCGCAACAACTCTGCTCAAATCCCAAACCATACGCGCCAGGCCAACTGACCGTCTTCGGACCATCGGTTCGCCCCGCGCCAACCACCACAACTAGACTCGCAGCGGCCGCCACAGAACAACACTGTCCGCCACGTCATGGGCAACATGGCGATGCGCGATCACTGCCGCACCCGGCGCACAAACCGGCGACATCTCCGCTACGTTTCTCCGCCTCCGTCTGAACGGGAGGTTCAGTTCAACTGATACAAAAATCCGTTCACACAAGACGGTGAATTTGTTTCCGACGAAAACGAGCAAGAGTGGAACCTACCCACACCGCTGCTGGAGTCGCCGCCCCACGACGAAGATTTCCTAAACTCACCGTCTATCACCACCTACTATTTCGGCCACAACATTGACGCACGTCCCCTCGACAATTACGTCGATGCTGGCGACAGACGCATTCCGTTCCGCAACACACCAAACCTTGCGCTCTCGGCCCAGCGTCGCGGAAACTGCTACAACACATGGTTCCTCGACAGCTGCTGCGGACAACACATGGTCGACTCCAAGCGCTACATCTTTAATGCCCACCCCATACCCGAACCAACCATCATCACTGTGGCAAACGCGCAGTAGCTTCACGCCCGCGCATGTGGAATCATTGTCCTCAAAGCACATGACAGTGACATCTACATCATGCTCAACGATGTCCTCATCGTGCGCGATCTTCAATACAACCTCCTCTCTTACGATCAACTCGTTCAGAGCGGAGTCCTCATGCACACTGTCCTCGAGACCCGCGGCATCATCATGCACTGGAAAGACTACAGCACACCGAACAGCACACCCAGATACATCGGCAGAGCCCACTCCGAAGATGATGTTTACATCCTCGATTTCGACATCCCCGATTGCGGTGCCGACTCAGGAGACCTCATCGACCTCCTACCCCAGGACGTGGCGTGGTCGAACAAACCAACTCACCCTGACGGCCGCCCTTGGGTCAAGCACCACGCTCACGTGAGGGAAATTGACCTCCACGCCCCTGGACCTGATGGAATCTGC